ACTGCAAGGAGGCCGAACCCTAACCCTAACCCATCTCATCCTCTGCCGTCCTCTTCTCCTTTTGCCTTCAATCTTTCCCAGCATCAGGGTCTTCTCCAAAGAGATCTCTCTTCGCATGCAAACTATAGTGTATTTCTTTTTTCTTATGTCATGTTTAAATCCAGTCCATTAAGACAGTTCATACACATGAAGATATATTACTATGACATCATAAGTATATACTGAAAAATCCCATGAGAACTATACTACTCCATCAAATCAAACAAACTGAAAAATTACAGAAGCTTTGAAACATATGTCAGTAGACAAGTGGGTGAAGGACACTATGAAGTGGTAACATGTTGACTCCAAAAGTACTTACTACTATGTTTACTAACTATCCTTCAGATGCTGAGCACTTTTCCAGAACCACAAGAACTAGACATGTGTTTTATAAAGGAAGAAAATTTCTGAGAATCTGATCAATATCAATATGGAGAACACAATATTTTCTGTAGCTTGTACAATCACATATGGATTATCTTAAATATTAATAAAAGCTTGCCCATATGGAAAATTAGGAAAAAAAGATGGACGACATGAAATCTGGATATACACATTGACTTTAAATAAGGGAAATGCCTAATGCTCTGTTCTGATTTGAAGCAATCATATTTTTAAAAAGCAACCTGAAACTTATATCAATTAGGAGCATGCAAAATGCTTTGAGTAACACCATTCTAAGTTCAAAACAGTTGTTTTGATCATGCTAAAAATGTTTTGAAATAGATGTTTGAACCCTGAAATGGGGATGTTTTGAGCACAAAGCACTTCTTTGACTTAGAAACAGAAAGTTTTAAAGTCGAAGCATTTCAAATTAAAAATAAAAATTTGCACCCCCCGGTATTATGCTGGCAACAAGAGAAATAAGGACACTTGTCCCTTGGCATTAAATAGAAGATCTTCTGTTCACTGTTGTGTTGACACAAAAAATAAGCAGTCCATGAAACCAAGAGAAAGCTAATAAAGGAGGCACAACTAACCTGGACAGACTGCAACTGTGGTGACTGAATAACTGAAGGTTGGGTGGCTTGAATCACTCCCTGTACATGGACAGTTTGACCAGAAGGGAACTGCACTACAGTTACAGAGGGAGATCCTCTTCCAGTTGTTGATCCCGCTACAGAAACCTATTAAGATGAATGAATCATACCATGAAGACAGCATAAATATCTAGCTCTCAGTGTTTGTTATCCGACAAAGAAATCCCTAGGTGTCTCTTAAGCTCCACCTTTGATATAGGATGTTTTATAATATGAAAATATATTTAGGCTTATATTGGCAATTAAGGTGTCAAAGAGCAGGTGAAGTATCATTTGGGTGGTACTTCTGCTTTCCTATTCTGAGTGTTACTCATTAAACACTAACTCATAGATGTTGTTATAGTTTAAAAAGCAGCATGTTTCCTTCAATCAAAAGAAAATGCAGTCTTACATAAAATGTGATCAGGATATAATTTTGCCCAAGATGTGTTTTTGTAACACAGCTATACTGTATCCTTCTACAAATTAATGGTAGTGTTATTTGTTATTTTTCTGAGCTGAAACATTGCAAGATCCTATACCAATTTTAAGGAACAGAAGGTTGAGAACTAACAACTTGCCAAACAACAGTCACCAGCTCCTCAGTTTAATCTAGTCTGAAACAGGGATTCCCTATTCTAATATTCCCTTCAAGAAAATATGGGAATTATGATGATTGTTCCAAGCAATTCTTTATATTGGAATTGCATGACAATAATTATATCTGAAAAATGTTGTCACAGCATATGAAATGAAACAGTTCATCCTTGACTGCTCAATTCGTGGACTGCAGCAGCCCTTATTCATTTTTAACATCAGGCAAATATACCAGTACCTAAGAATGCCCCTTCCTTGTAATTTAATACACCATCATATTTAAAAGTTTAGAACACATCTCCAAGATGTGTACTTTTCTTTTATTTCCCTTTTTTTCTTCCATTTAGACTTAAAACATGTATTTTGAAGCTGCTCGAACTAAAATAAAAACAGTATCCAAAGGATACTGGTTGCCAATTATTTTCTGATTATTTAATGTTTAAAGTCCAAAATAACGTTGGGTCTGACTCTGTGGCTGCTTCAGAAGCTGTGCCCAGCTATGTGTTCATTGTCACTTCACTGCTGGGAAAAATGAAAAATCTGTTTTAACAATTGAAAAAGAAGCATGTGTGCAGGAGCTGACCTTTAAACATAGTAGGGGTACTTAACTGTGTGAGCTGATCAGGGAGAAGAAAATATATCCCTATGGGGGATTTCTCCAAGCAGGGTGCTATAACTGAGAAGACCCCTGCCTTTGTAATCACCTGCTTTACTGCAGAAAGCCTCCAAGGGTGGCCTAATGTCAGAGACATTGCTTCAGAAAACCTAACCCAGGCCTGTACAACATGCAGCTCACCAAGCAGCTTTGGGTGGCCCACTGGTGTTTTTTAAAGTCAATAAATTTTCTGCTGCCCTGAAAGACATGATGCCAAGCATGTCTAACATCTCCAGGCCTCAACATTGCTGCCAGCTCCAGCACTGCTGCCACTCCGCTAGACACCTAACAGCTGATTGGTGCAAATTATGCAGGCCTGCTCTAGCCCCAAGCTGATTAGGGCTTGATAAGATTCATTTCGTTGATAAGAATTTCAGCTTATAAAAATGACTAGTACCATTGGATTCAGTAAATATCCATTTGCACACTGGGCAAAATTGACTACCGGCAGTCCTTGACTTACGATAACAATTGGGACTGGAATTTCCGTAATCCCTGCTGTTGTTAACTGAATCCCAAAGTCATTAAGCAAGGCAACTTCCTGCCAGCTTCCCACAACTACAGTCAGTGGGGAAACCGGCAGGAAGTTGCAAGTCCCATGCCAGTAGGCAGGTAAGTGGCTGCTGCTGGATGGGAGAAGGAGTGAGGGGGTGCACAGCAGTGCGCAAGGAGCACCATGCAGGTTGGGGATGGTGCACGGCAGTGCACAAGAGGCTCTGCGCAGGTCAGGGATGATGTGTTGGGGTGTGCAGGAGTGCACGAGAGGCACCATACTGGTTGGGGAGAGAATGTGAGGGTGTGTGGTGGGCTGGGGAGGGTATGCGAGGTGCAACGTGGGTCAGGGAGGATGTGTGGGGGTGCAGTGTGGGCCGGGGAGGGTGCATGAGTAGCTGGCGTGGCACGAGCGCAGAGGGGCTGGGGAGGGTGCACAGGTGGGGGAGACTTATCCCAGTGACTTGCAACCTTCCCTGCCTCCTCTCCCCACGGCTTTTTTGGGGGGGGGGCGGGGGGGGGGGG